ACATTTAGCATACATGGGGACTAATTGAGACAACAATGATCGAAAAGGGGAGGATTCAAAGATTCAAATTCGCAAAAGGGAATGGAGATAAGGCACACACAGAAGAAAATGGACTACTATATGTGCGTGTGTATGAGATTAAATATATATATATGGTAACCACAATGGTAACCACACACCAAAGATTCAGAACTGAAGTATATAACATAAAACAAGAAGAACCAGAAGGAAAACTCACAAAAGCAAGCCAAAATAAAGAAAAAAGAAACACAAGGACAAGGAAGCAATGGAAATACCGAATACCAGAAAGCAAAACATAAAGTGGATATAAGAAGACCTCGTATTTCAATAATCACCCTAAATGTAAATGGACTGAACTCTTCGATAAAAAGGCACAGATTTGCACATTGTTACAAAAAACAAAACGCAACCATATGCTGCTGCCAGGAGACACATCTCAGTTCCAGAGGCAAATATAGACTCAAAGTAAAAGGGTGGAAAATGATATTTCAAGCAAATGTCATTCAGAGAAAAGCAGGAGTACAGGTACTAATATCATATAAATTAGATTTCAAAATTAAAAAGGTAAAGGAAGATACTGAGGAACACCTTATAATGATAAAGAAAATCATGCACCAAGAAGACATAACTTATTAATATTTATGCTCCATATCAAAGACCCCTGATATATGTAAAGCAATTACTAACAGAACTATTGGGAGAAACAGACGAAAGCATTATCATAGTAGGAGACCTAAATACCCCACTATCGAATAACGACAGTTCATCCAAACAAAAAATCAATAAGAAATAACACTCATCCTTAAATGACAAATTAGACCTACTGGACATTATTGACATTTACAGAGTCTTTCATCCCAAAGCAGCTGCTTATACATTCTTGTCTAGTGCTCATGGAACATTATCAAGGATTGACCACATACTGGGACACAGGGATAACTCAACAAATATAAGAGAGTTGAAATCATATCAACGAAACTCTCTGATCATAATGCTGTGAAGCTGGATATCAACTGTAAAAAGAAAGCGAGAAGAACCACATATACTTGGAGTTTAAACAACATGCTACTGAAGAACTGCTGGGTCAGAGAAGAAATAAAATAGAGATCAAGAGATACATAGAAATGAATAATGATGATAGTATAACAAATCAAAACTTTTGGGACACAGCAAAAATGATCATAAGAGGAAAGCTCAGAGAATTACAGGACTATCTCCAAAAACAAAAACGAGCCCAAATAAACAACCTAACGCTTCATCTTTAAAAAAATAAATAATTAATTAAGAACAAATGAAGCCTAAAATCAGCAGAAGGAAAGAAATCATCAAAATTAGAGCAGAAATAAATAAAATTGAAAACAAAAG